TCACCCCCCACCCCCTTACCCACCCCCCAGCCCTCATACCTCACCCCACCCCCACCCACCGTCCCTCCCCTCCCCTCCCCACCCACTTACCCACTACACCCCAGTCGCCACCGCCCCTCACTTCACCCCCCACCCCCTTACCCACTCTCCAGCCCCTCACCTCACCCCCGGGGGTCCCTACCTTCACCAGCATGAACTTCTGCATGGGCTCGTACCACTGGAGCAGGACCACGCTGGCCTCCAGCGCCCCGCACAGGTAGTGGCAGCCGCTCCGCGCGTGCCGGGCTGTGGGGAGCAGGGGGGGTGTCAGGGGGGGCGGGAGGCCCGTGCTGTGCGGAGAGAGGATCTGGGGGTGCAGGGGGGGTCGGTGGCTGTGGGTTGCGGAGGTCCAGGCGGTACAGGGAGGTCTGGGGGCCCCATGCTGTGGGGAGCGAGTGTCCGGGGAGGAGCAGGTGTCCAGGGAGGCATAGGGGGCACAGGGGAGTCCAGGGAGTGCAGGCAGTTTGGGGGGGCACAGGCAAGTCTGGGGGGTTTGCGGGGCACAGGGGGGTCTGGGGCAGTGCAGGGAGGCCTGGGGGCCACAGGGGGGTCTGGGCAATTTGGGGGGCACAGAGGGGTCCGGGGGGTGCAGGAGGCCCCGAGGCGGGGTTTACTCACCCACACAGCAGGCCCGGCAGCCCTTGGTGTCAGGGATCTTCGTGGAGGTGGCGTTTTTCCTGTGGAGCAGAGCACAGCCGGCTGAGGGGGGGAGCCTGAGGGGCCCCCGGGGGGCACCAGCCGCTGGGCACCGGGGGCACCGGGGATCTCGCCCGCTGTAGGACGAGGCGGGGCTGGGAGCTGGCCATGCAGGGATGTGGGTCCACGGGTCTGCCCATAGCCCCCCCCGATCCTAGCCCAGCCGCCCCCGGAAGGGAGGGGTTTGTCCCCCCCCAGCCCTGCCCCGGGGCGCGGCGGTACCTGGGCAGCAGACGGTGGGGGGCGATGTGGACGCCGGGGCGCTGCTCCCTCTTGCTCTGCTCGTACAGGCTGGTCAGGCTGTGGGAGTATAGCTGGGGGGTCTTCCCTGCGAGGGGGGG